CAGCCACGCCCCCTTTGCCTACCGCCCCCCCGCTGGGCAAATTGTGCAAACAAACAGCGGATGTTAGAGCTGAAGAGGGGAAGGGGTTCTTCTGAAAGGATGCTGCTAAGTACACACGAAAATATTTTCACTATGGCAAAAAAAGAAATGTATTTAAAAAAGGAAAATTAAGCAAAAGCTAATAAAATTTAAACCCAAACATAAAAATCAAATAATAAGTTTTAGATGAATTAATGAATTGAACTGAATTTTTTTCAAAACCAAATATTTGGTAAAAATTGTTTATACGTTCAAATTTACAAATTAAAATCCTTGTATATTTTTTAAAATTGAAATATTAAAATTAATATAATATAAATAAATAAAAATTAAAAATAGTCACTGCTGAAATACTTACATTTTTAACTGTAATAAACACTCTTTTCTTAAATGAAAGACATTTCGCTTTGCTAATACTGATTTATTCTAATATCTGTGTACAAGTAAATTATTTTTTCGACTGCATGCAGAACTTGTGCCACAAATCGCTTCAATTTTGGTGCCCCACTCCGCCGTCCTCATCTCCTATTACGGCTCAATTGGAGGATATTTTGGCGGATTGGAGGGCGGCGGACGAGGTCCTGGGCTTTTGTTTTTTCAGCTCGGTTTGTTCTCAACTGCAATAATCTTATTAGCAGTTTGTTGTTCGAACCTAATCAATTACCAACGTAATTACAAACTTTGCTAATCTGCTTCGGTTTCCCCAGCAACGCTTTCCCAGGCATTTTCCCCCATGGTGTTCATGACCGTGTCAGTTTGTTTGTGTGTGTGCGTGTCCCCGTCCGTGTTCATGTTCGCATCCAGATTGGAATACGTCCTGCATACATGTACTACCAATTCCACAGACTCGTGGAAGGAACGCGCTTCGTTGATGCGGCTCAAATTTAGTGGCCTAAATAGCGATTTGTCCAGTGGAGCATGACAAAAGATCTCATCAAACGTTGGCAAATTGTTAACCGGAAAGTGGAGATGGAAGCGGAAGGGATTTCGATTAAGCGTTAAGTTGAGAGGCTCTCGGGGAATTGTTGTCTTAGCCCCTTGACTCTTTGAAATGGTTCCATCGGTCGAAACCTAATTATAACTGAATTTTGTAGTATATTCTATTCTTCTATTGAAGAATCTATAACTTCGAAGTGAGACTTTAATCGTGTTTCTTTTATTATTGTGATTTTATCTATATATTTTAACTTAACGTATAACGCATAACAACATTGAAGCTAAGTCGATTTTTCAATTAAGCTTCTATTACTTCGGCTATTTTTCATATGTCAGCTATATGACATAGTGGTCCGACAGGCACGTATCCAGGGGGGGTGCCCGGGGGGCCCGAGCCCCCCCCCCCGAAATCTTTGAATTCAAAAATTTTTTCTATTTAAGATTTTGGTAATACTTCGGAATTTTGACTCCAGCTATATCTCAGCCCCAAAAAAACTTGGGAACCAAATCAAGGGTTTTTTCGTAAGATAATAACCCCCTTAGGAGGGGCAGAAGGTTTTTTACCTTGGAAAATGGAAATTTTCTCGGAAAATCAGCGGAAAACACGAAAAATATGTGCAATAAGTATTTTCGCCCGCTACCAGCCCTCACTATTATCGGAAATTTAAGGCTCGATACCTCGTAAACGGTGCGAGAAATCGAGAAATTTTATTTCTTAAAAAGTGTTTATTTTGGGCCAATTACCCAAAATAAGTCCTCAAATCTCCCCTAGCGCGGAAATGCATGACGTGCAGGTAAAAAACCTTCTGCCCCTCTTAAGGGGGTTATTATCTTATGAAAAAACCCTTGATTTGGTTCGCAGGTTTTTTTGGGGCTTAAATATAGCTGGAGTCAAAATTCCGAAGTATTACCAAGATTTTTCTTTAAAAAGTCTTCAGTAGAAGAAACCTGACCTAACAGGAATAATAAAAGATCAAACGATTAAAGATTGATGTGTGATTTGCCTTTTTCTGAATTTTTTCGAATAAGTCCACATTTTATTATTGATTTTTGTCCTTGAGCCCCCCCCAAAACAAATTTCTGGATACGGGCCTGTGGTCCGATTTTTATGAAATTGAATTCAAATATTTATTTATATAAAATCTATTAAACCAAGTTACTTGTATTTTTGTAAATTTTCAGCAAACCCATTTATGATAGTTTCGACTAATAATTAATAATGTATTCTTGTTTTGCAACTTTATTATAGGTTATGGCTGTGGCGAAGAACAGACAGAAGACCTGCTGCTAACTGGTCTCGCGTACAATCCGGGAAATCCACATGACTTTAGCCTAGGCAGCGAACGGCGACACAGCGTTGGATTCTAAATTTAAGAATAGTTAATTGTCTAGACTCGCATCTAAGATTCGCAAGATATGGACTGCTCTCAAATTTACAGTATAAGAATAGGGAATAGCTATACTAAATTTTGTCAAATAAACTAGAGTTATCGACATTGTATCATACTTTTGGGAGCTCTTACAAAATGAGCTGTTGCTCTTGCTCATGTCTTACACATTGTTACTAACATTTGGAGCATAAAATCTTTGGAGTAGCCACCTACAGTTGAATTCTGCTCGCCTGGTACATCAAAGTGAGCTTTGTTTGAATATGTTGGTCTTGGCCGAACGATTTAAACGCGATAATTTGTGACACTTAGATTAAAAAAAAGGTCAACTAATGCCTTATTAATTGGCGTTTTTTTATGTGTAAATTTTCCATAAAAATGTTTGGCATATTTTTGGGAATAGGAAAATCTTAAAAAAAGAGGGTTTTGGGCTGTGAATTTTCCGTAAGAAATGTGTGGCATGCTATGGATGCTATCCGATATAGTCGCCCGATCCGGCCCGTTCCGTATTATATACATACGTCGTATATATAAGACATACGAGTTCGAATTTTTTGGACAATCCCGAGAGAAAAATAAAACATGCTTCCCTTCAAAATCCTCTTTTGTACCAATGCGGCTGTATTTGGCATCGCATATTCCAACCATTTTCATCAGACGGCCAAGATCAATGAGCCGCTTATCGCATGCCAACAATCAATTTTCCCCGTCTTTCTTACCATTGTTGCAACGTTTTCACTTGGGATTTTGGTAGAGGAATGCCAAAAACTTTTTGGCTTAATCAAATGCCAAAATATTTGAATATGCCAAGGCGAAATTATTGCCGTGTAAGCTTTGCCGCCGCCCCTTTTGGCATTTGCTGTCGACAGAAGCTGAGCAAAAGTTTTCCACGCATGATTTAAATGGGAATAAATCTTGCGTTAAGACTCGACTTGGATTTGGATTATACAAGGCCTGGAGAGGAGAGGAGAGAGACGAAACGTAACGAAACGAAACGAACTGCTGCGTCACGTAGTTGGTAAATTTGTTTACACGTCCTGCCTTCCCTTGAAGCCCCGCCCCCCGTTTTAGAATCTCGCCAGGGCTCGACACCCCCTCGGGTTTTCCCGCCCCCGACTGCTCCACAATTGGCATAAAGTTTCTCATATGCAAATCGCAAGTTTAGCAAAATATTTCGTTTATTGTTGAAGTTTTCCTTTAGTTACTCTCGCTCTCTCTCAGTCGTCAACATTTTGTACTTTCCTTGTTCATTTTTCTCGACTTTCCTTGGCCAAAACTTTTTCCTCGCAAAGTTTTTGGCTTAAGACATTTTTTGATAAATTATCCAGCGTCAGTTTGTGCAAGTTTCTTTTTGCCAGTAAAACGCGCTCTCCGTTTTTTAATAAAAATCATGACACCTTTTATTGATTTACTTATTCTGTTTGTATGCTGATGTGTGATTGTGTGTGGGTGTGTTTACTAGCAATTTACACTTTAGACTTAATAAATACACATAATTCATTCGCTTAACTAACTGCGTTTTATCACTAGAATTACGTTCTCGCTGTTCAATGCCGTAATATAGCCTCGGCATATATTTTCAGCATTTTTCCAAACCAATGCTTATCCTCAGCATTCCATCTTAAAATGCATTCTTATTTCATTTGTCCGAAAGTGGGAATCGCTTAATATCTAGTCAGAACACACAGCCTTGCTTTGTTTCTCTAAAAAATTACACTTAGCATCTAATTATTAATTACACATTTAATTACACACAGAACACTTTCGTCTTATTAAGCTTATATTTAGGTTTAAATGGCAATTTCTGCGTTTAAATAATGTTTAATTTAAAGCCACATCCAGATAGTTTGTATAAAACGCACACAGCTTACGACTCTACTCCAAACAAGGAATCATATTCAATTTATAAACCTAATTCAGAAACAAAAACAATTTAGCTAACCTTCCGTCTGATTTGTCAATGCTTTTGTTCAGCTACAAAACCAAGTTATTGAATTTGACCACAAACTAGAACTCAGAAATAATCAAGTTTATTTTTATAGATTTACTTTGCTAAAATTAGTTTGCTTTACAAGCTTATAAAATGTCTTTCCTCGGCTATCGTACAACATGTTTGCATTTTCATTTTATTACAGATCTTCCCATATGCTTTTGTGGTATTAAAATGTACAGTTCTTGGAAATTTGTATGCGACAGCAGTGGAATAGGCATTTATTTGTAGGATTCTCGAGACTCAAGCGGATAATATTTACAAGTTTTGGGGAACTATGCGTCTTTTAAAAACGATTTGTTTACAACTGAAATAAGAAAAATAAATTAGAAATGTCTTTTTCAAAAGAAGGAGACTTGGTTAATATTACCTTTCAACTGGCGGTTTGCGTCGACTACCACTTGACTTTGCTTTTCCAAAAATAAATCGCAAAACTCTGGCAAAGGTGAACATATCATCTGAAGAATACAAAAAAACTGTAAGTCATTACTAAATAGTTTTCAACTGGAAGTGCGGATAGAGACACACTTTCAATATAATTCACTGAAAAAATTAAATGCTAATGTGATGTAAAACAATAACATTACCTTGTTGTAATACGAACTAATACATAAAAGTTAAACACTCAAATTGATAATATTTTTTTGTGCATTGAAACAGAGAACAAAACTTTATTTAGATATGTATGCGTGGTATGATGTGTTTACATATGTGCATGATTTTTACATAAACAAAGTATGCTACATAAGGCACTATCTACTTCAAAGATGTGCGACGACAGAAAGCCAAATAAACTTCAACTTTAACAAAAAGTTTACAACGAAATGAGTCATATAAAATAATATAATACCAGATTTGTGTAAATTTTGATGAAGTAGCAAGTGATTAAAACTAATAAAAAATAATATAATTAACTCCATTGATGAAACTTCAAACATAAATAACAAATTTTTCCTTTTTTTTGTAGATTTCATTTGGTTTGTAGTCTTTTGTATGCATAGTTATTGTTTTTACAAATCGCATAATTAACAAGAAAGCGTAGGTGTATTTGCTTTTTCCACTAGTTATAATAATAATAGAATTACTTATTATGTGTGTTAACGAAAACATTTCATTTCAGTACAAATAAAAAATGTGTTAGTTTGGGGGCGTAACAAATCAGATAACTAAAAACTAATTATGCGTATCGGCATAGGTGTAGGTATATATAAAAGAGATAATCCATTTAACAAAACGAATAACTTGTAACTATAGCTAGAATATATATCGTGTAGGTATATATTTGTAATAAAGAACTTCATTGTGACTTGCAACATGAGAGATGAACAAATCAAACAGAGAGTGAGTATAAAATAATGAGATATATCAAAAGCTTATAAACTAACACTCGAACATATCTTTGTTTTTTTTTTTTTTTTTTTTGGTTTTTTATTTTTTCGGTTCGTTTGTGAGTCATGAAAATGTGTACAAAATATTTAGTAAAAGGGCGATGGTTCAACCAACTCGTACGACAGTTTAAAAATATGAAAACAAGTCGTAAAAGATAAGGTTCGAAGGGAACTTCAACAGAAAGTTAACTAAACTACGGTCTATAAGTTGTAATATTCGTTTCTTTTTTTCGTGTTTTTTTTGTTTTTTGTTCGTTTGTTTTTTCTAATTCAACATATAACGTGCTAAATCGTAAGTGGTTCTGTTTCTTTTGGCACAGATTTCATGTCTTTTTTCAGCTTTTGTATTTGGTTTTCATCATACGTACAACGTTGGCATTCGCATCTTCGTTTACTCTTGCAACGCGCGCGCTCTACACGGGCAACTCTTCATTCATTGACTACTCCATATTTCACAAATCTCAGTGTTCTCCTACTCGGTGTGTCCGGGTAACCCAGCTGCTGGTGGCAGGAGTCCTCTAGTAGGGCTTCGAGTCCTTCGGCTTCTTCAGCTGCACCTTGAGCCGCTTGGTGCCCACCTGGAAGCCGTTCATGGCCTTGATGGCCACCTGGGCCGAGTCCGGATTGTCGAACGACACGAAGCCAAAGCACTTCGACAGGCTGGTCTGCTTGTCGATGAACACCTTGGCCGAGATCACGTTGCCGAACGGCAGGAAGGTGGAGGCCAGGTCCGTGTCGGTGAACTCCTGCGGCAGATGGTAGATGAACAGGTTGCAGCCCTCGGGTCCTGAAAAATATAAATGAGAACAAAAGAAATATTAGTACCATAAAACATTTAAGACATTATCCAACAAAACATTTTTTAAATACATTTTAAAAAACTTGGAAAGAAGTATAACAAATTACAATATAAATTGCTTATTTACTAGCAGCATAATACAACCTTTATATAAATTATTTTATAAATTTAATTTCTTTAAGAAATGCCATAAAAAATTCATTTTTTTATTAGACCCATTTTGTTAATTTTATTAAATTGCTTGAATTGAAAAAATTTATTATTTTCTATATATTATCAATTTATACAAAATTGATCAGCTAACTCACAAACATTTTCGATCAATATCTACTTAGAATATTATAGTATTAATCTTTGTTTGCCTGCGTTTAGCCTCAGCTTGGAGCGAACAATTAATTAACTAGTTGCACCGTTTACGCTCTCGGTTTTCCCCCGAAAATTTGCAACCGCAGAATGCAAACGGAAAGTTGAGCGGACAAAGTCTGAAATTATATGAGCCCGGTGGCGGAGATTAGGGACTGGGAATTCGTGCCAGCAGCAGCTGATTGCCAAAACGGAAGCGGAAATGATGTGCCCAACTCTGGATGCTCTCTCTCTTTCGCACTTGACTCTCGCTGTCTCTTTCGCTTTTGTTAAATCTGCACAGAACGTGTGTGGGTGTGACACTTTGTTTAGCTAGCAGCACGTGCTATTGCGACTGCTGACATCGTCATCATTATCTTTTGGGGGCATTATCATCGCCATTCCCGGCATTATCATCATCATCGCTCCGTCTCTGTCGCTCATATCGCCCCGTCCCTGTCGCACGCACATTAACGTGGCTCGCGCCTCGTGCTGCGGTTGCACTTTTCGTGCAAATTACTGTCAACGTCACTGGCAATGAGCAGTCAGCAGTCGGCAGTCGTCAGCGGTAAAACAACCCACCAGCATCCAAATTCCAGAGCGCCAGCTCGGATGAAAAGAGATGGAGTGAGCAGATAGAGAGAGACGGCAGGTTGGGTGGTGAAAAGGGTGGAAAGAGGGAGGAAAAGGGGGCGGCACAGCTGCGTCAGCAGTCGCGTTTTCACTTTCGTGACGCATTTTAATGACGGCAAAACGCTTCGAATGGCAGCTGGTATTTTGCGGTCTTTCAATTTTATCAGGCTGAAGCAACAAAAACAAGAAACAAGGAGAACAATGGTGTTTGGAGGGAGAAAAAACTCATATGGTTAAAAAAAAAAATTCATTTTATGATACTGACAAACCGAATTCAAAGTTGTTAAATGTATTAAAATAATGAAAATAATATTCACACAATTATTAAATAAATAAACACCAAAACGAGGGTAGCCACTAATTTGTCACATAAAAATATATTGTAATAAATAAATAATTTGTCATTTCGTAAACCATACAAAATATTTATTATTGTGTGTAATCTGATGCGTAATTCCTTTTGGATAAAAAGAAAAGCTTTTGTGATTTGCCCAAAAAAGTATGCTACAACAATGGAATGAAGGTATCTCTCCGATTTAATTTTAATTACAATCACGTTTCACGGTTCTTTTCATCAGTAAAGCAAACTGCCGCACTCTTTGATGTGTTACCCCGCACAGACAAGCTGAGATTCACACTCGCTGTAATCGGATAAGTTTGTAGTGGTTCCAGGACATCAGCCACCATCCCATCGCACTCCATCGCATCCCATTCCTTTATATCCCATCCACTGCCAGCAGCACCATAATTCTTACTCCATCATCATCGTTCGCCAGAAGCACCGCTATTGATCACCTTGATGTATGAGTTGGCCACCGTAGGCCTGCAATCCCAGTGGGCCACGCCCCCATCCGTACGCCCCCAAGGTAAACTGACTGCTGACAGATTGCCCGACGCTGATGCGATTACAAAATGAAGCCAAATTGAATGGCGAAGACAGCCGGGCTCCGTGCTCCTCCGGAGGCATCTCTCCTCCTTCTTCGGGATGGCAAGCCTTTGACGTTGCCAGGATTTTAATATTAATTGACTCAGGGCTCGTGATGCACTTGTTGCTTTGTAATTTTGCACACCCATCAATTAATTTAGGCTCAGTGGAGCAGCAGCAGCAGGCGAGCAAAACGGGGAGTAAAAAGTCCAATTAAAAATGCTTCAAGCTATTGAATTACGCGACTAACAAGCGACACGTGTGCCCCAACACGATATATAATTAGATGAAAGGGCGATTGCGAGAAAGCCGGCACAATGTGTTCCTAAGGCAACAAATTAAGGCAACAATTTTCAATGGGCTCAGAGATTTTCTTGAAATTATTCACAAGGGAATAATTCGTTGGGTGGGTTTGCTTATTTTTGGAAAGGTAATAATTTAAGAATTTTCATTCTTATTGAAACATTAAGGAATTTTCTAATTCAATTTAATCTGATGAACATTGAAATTCTTTTTTGCATTTACTAAAGCATTAAATTGTTAGATTTAAATTTAAATTCTTTTTCAAGAAGTTTAATATAGAAGACAATGTTTTATTAAATAAGTGCTTTCGGTGTTATTTTATTCCCCTTTTTTCCGCAAAACAGTTTCTTTTTTACCAAATTTATATTCAAAACTAAATCCATACGCAGTCGTCTGGCTTTACTCAACTTTCTATAAATTCAGTTAGCTGTCAACTGCAAAATGTTTTCCACACATTTTGGTAACCAAAAATGTGTAACTTCTTGGAATTCCCCAAGGATTTCCCCTCTCTATTGCTCTTCTGCGCATACAAATAAACTTCCTGTTTTGTTTTTTCTTAGCCCAACATTTTTTTTGATTCGGTTCGGTTGGAATTTTTCAGTGTGCGAAAAACGATTTCCTATATTGCATTTTCCTCTTCCGCCGAGCAAGGATGCGCCATCCGCCTTGGCAATGTCGCCTGCCCTTTTCGCCATTGATGCACTCGCATTTTGGAGGGGCATAAAGGGAGATGTTAGCTGCAGATGCACATCACTCCCCCCTCACTGCACTTCACTCCTTTCGCAGTTAGGGGCAAGCATTTTTTTGCTATTTTCTTGGCTGTCGCGCTCACCCAAGTGAGCTGGCGGGAAAGTCCTCCTTTATTTTCCTACTCCTCTCAAGGGCACCAACGAGGCGGAAGGAAGCCAAATGGAATCTATGGCACATAAGCTACAGTTCTAGTTCTGCCTGCACATATATCTGAGTTGCTTTATTGATTTTAATGCGACTTATGCATGAAAATGCAGTGGGAGAAAACAACTACTTGCTGCTGAATATCTTTCTGAATACGTTGTTGAATAACACTGTGCGACAAAATTTAACGAAATGTTTGTTTGAGTTACTTTTTTGATTGTTTTCGGTTAAGGGGCATAAGTTATGCACAAAAATATTTATGCCACCTTCTAAGTGATAGGATTTCTTTTTTTATGATAAATTTTATGAAATTATTATTATGAAAATATTTAACACAAAATATTATTTTTTTTACTTCCAATAAACTATTATTTTTTTTTAAAAGTGAAATTTTTTTCTGATTTTTTTGGCTTTTTCAGAGGTATCCTCGCGTAACAAGTTCCATACAAAGTCGCCCAGAGTATAGAGCTGGGAGAAAAAAATTTTAAAGCATTGTTATAAAAGCCTAACGGTATATTTGCTTAATACATTTTAATTAATAGATATTGAACTTGCATTAACGCTTATAACGGTGAAAAAATATTTTCCCAATATGGTATTATAAGGCTGTGAAATATGCAAAAACACGCGTTTTTGGGACCTTTGAGTGTGCGTAGAAGCTGATTGGCTATTGATATTAACAAATCCAAAAACTTGTATTCTTATTTTGACTGGTAGAAGTGAAAAATAAGGAAAAATCAACTCAAACATTTTTTTGTCGCACAGTGTAATATGAAGTTAAAATGTTCAATTTTTTGTTGCAGTTTTTTTTGAACTTGTTGTTTAAAATGTTGTTGTCAAAGTTTTTAAGCACTTAAATAAATAAGTCGTTTAATGTGTGGTTGATTGCTGTTGTTGTTGAATCTTTTAAATATTTTTGTATAAGTACAGTTTACAGTTTGCCTGGATAATAGGGTCTACTAAAACGTTGATAAATTAATGCTTTGATTATCAAGTTCAGGAGCATCAGCTTGAGAATTAAATTTGTTCTTGTATAACAACTTCTTGCTGTGCATTTTATTTTCCCCGTCGTTATAACCACTCACTTGCAGGCCAAGCCCTTTTCAATTCCACCCACCTCCCGGCGCAAAAGTCGCAAATCTGCGAGGTCGCTGGCTATCTCCTCAGCTTCTCGACTGGCTCACTCCTCTGCTCCTCCTTCTGGCACACACACAACATTTGGTTATTTTATATTCCAGCTTCCGGCTTATGCACATGACTTTAATCCGGATGCAGCCGGAAGAAGAGGCGACCGCTGCCGCCTTAGGGTCACCCATGCGATGATGAAGACGGGGGATTCCCATCGTCTGTCACTGTCATATTTGCTGCCTTCCTTCCGTCCCTTTCTCGACCAGAGTTCCCGTCCTTTTGCTCCTTTAAAGCGTAGTTCTGCTGGGCCGCTTATGTTTTTTTTTTTGTTAGCTTTACAACATATTTTTATATTTATTTTATTTCGCTTTTGCCTCTGTTTCCTGCTTAATTTTGTGCCTGTCGTCTGGTCCTGTCTACATGCTTATAAGTTGTTTCCTGCTCCCATTCCTCTGTATCTTCCGCTTAAACTCCCACTATGGTCCTCTTCCTCTTTCTGTTGTGGAGCCTTCGCCATTTGATAAATTTCACATGCTGAGAATTTATCTGCCCTCGACATTGTTGCTGCAGTTTTTCTGCGCTTTTGCCCCACGCAGATTGCATAAATCTGACATTTTTAGGATATTCTCAAACATATTTTTTCCGTGCAAGCCAAGAGTTCAATGATATTCAAATCAAAAGGGGGCGAAAATGGAAGGGAAGGGGAAAGCCAGATAAATTCTCTTTCTAAACTTCTCGAAGAAAAACGATTTAAATCCGCATAATGTACAGAAAACAAAATATAAAATTTCTTCTTCAAATTATAGATATAAATAAATGTGTCTAGAATCCTTCAAAAGTAAAATCTTGATCTAGGGCGTTTAATGTTGGTGTTTAAACTCCTTTAACCTTGGTTTAGTTGGTTTTATAGAAGGGTAATCCCTTTAACTTATTCTGCCAAGTGAGAGTCAATTACCCATTAACCACATCCCCACTCTAATCTTTCATATCCCATTCAATAATTATATAGGGCTTGCAGTTTCCCCACCCCTTTTTGGACAGGTCGACTTTCATTTAAGCTAGTCCAAGTCATCTATGATAGTTTTTCACAATCCAGCCAAGCGAGGCGAAACATGGCAGCTCACATTTCGCATTTCGGCTAGCAGGAGCAATTTGTTGTGCTTCCCCAGACAGGACCACACAATCCTCGCTCCTCTTCCAGGACTGTGACCCCCTCCACCCACATCTCCTTCCCCTGAATAACAGTTGTTGCAGTTGGTCAGGAGGGAATTTTCGGGGACGTCATGAGTCAGCAGAGCAAACAAGGAGTCGCACAAAAGGACGAAGTGAGCGGAGGTGCAGGAGTCGCAGGAGATAAAGATGAAGGCGGGAAGGAGAAGGGCGAGCGATTCACTCAACTGCAAAAATATATCTCACTATATGGTGCATAACATGCAGAGAAAAATAGCGGATAGGATTTTTGTAAGTAAAGTTACTTAGTTCAACCCAAATAGTTAAAGATATCTATTAAACAAAGTTTTAAAATCATATATTAAAATAATAATGTAATGATAACAATAAATAACACTTGTGAATAATTAAGTAAACCTTAGTTAACTTAACTACAAAGTAAACCCATCTAAAGTATCACCAATATATTATAGTTTCATAAAATGTTTGCAAAGGTTAATTTAAAATATTTTCCACATTTTTCCCCTCTGCACATTCACATTAGATCAAGCACCCCCAAAACCCCCATCCACCTAAAGGATGTTTGCTTATGTAACCGGAAATATAGCAAAAAGTGCAGTGCCAAAACATTTCCCGCTGCCTTTTGCCCAACATTTCGAACATCGCCTGCTGCAACTTTAATGTTATGTGTGCCAAAAGTACACGCCCAGGCACACAAATCCACAGTGGGTGGTAAAAAGAAACGCTCAGTTGCTCAGTTGCCCAGTTGCCATATTTCCCGATATCGACATCGACGTCTGACTAATGGAATTGTGTGTCAAGTGTGTGTAATATTTACACTGTGTCGGGAGCTGATAAAAATTTAAGCTCCGCCAAAACGCTCCTCATAAATTCTCCTTAGCGAGCGAAAGATGGCAACTCGGGGAGCCGAAGTGAGTGGAGCGTACAGGATGATTGATCTTATTGATTTTTGCTACATCTCTCCCAGGCATTGGCTTATGGCATTGAAGGATTTGTGTCAGCAGAAGACATTCGGTTGCGGATTACAGGGGCGTCGTGTGCACATTCATTCGGGGGGCGTGGCAAAGGAGGATTGAAGCTCTTGAGAGATGGTGAAGATGCTCGGGATTTTGATTTGTAGGGACTCGAAAATCTGCTTAGACCGCTCTCAAAGTTATGAAAATGCCCAGCGCATCCAAATCCTTTCCCTCATCCAACTGCATAACATTTGATAGATGACTTTTCATATAAAATACGGCTCTTCTCCTCTAGCACAATATAAAACGGACGGGAACAATGGCGCAACTAAAACTAAGTAGATTAGACAGATATCCACAAAATGTCCATGACAAGTGGTTGTAGAGGTGGTGGAGGGGAAAAGTGGGCAAATGGGTGGGAGTAATCCAGGGGCAACGAACAGAAAACTGCAAAAAAGGATGCAAAAATAACCGCATCACGAGCGAATGACGCTGACAGCAAAGAGCGGGTTAATGCATGCGATGTTGCATCAGCAGCAGAAACAAATATAACTGGGGTCTTCCAAAAACGAGAGACTATTCGAAGATTCCATAGCCTAACTTACAAGTCGAATCAAAAAATATATGGGATAGAATTTTAAAAATAAATAGTACTGCAAAGAAATTACCTTTTCTTTTAAGGAATTAGTTTGCAAAGTTTTGGTTCTTCATTTTTAAGTAATATTTTTTTTATCATATTATCCCACTTTAGATTAAGATATTCAAGTCTCATCTACATTTAACAAGAGTATTTTAAGGGCTTACTTATGTTAAAGTGTATATCGCGGAGTATAAAGTGCAGAGAAAAGTATTTGATATTGGACGGACACAACCGCAGCAGCATTCATTCGGTCATTTTGCTACATTTATCAAAATGTCAGCCATTTAGACATTTCTATTCCTAACGTTTGCGTGAACCTTTTTCCACCATTTTTACCCTTTTCAGTACCACACTGATTACCAACGAAAATTCCAATAGAACGGGATAAATTCTGACAGAAAAAAATTTAGCTTTAAAATCTATAAAAACGATACATATCAAACTTGGCAATGTAAATTGCGTATACGAACTGTTGATCACAAAGAAGTCGAATATTTTCATAAATTGGTTTATGTTTACAATACCAAATTATCAATTACCATCTGCTATATATGTATATTTTTCTCAGTGTTCTTTCAGTTGGTCACTCACCTTCAATCTGCTTTCCCGCTGCGGCGGCAGCTGCGGCACTCAGGGCAACGCTGGCCAGCGGCGAAGTGGACAATGCACTGGCGCTGCCGAATTGCGGTAGACCGGCGGCTGTTGACATATATGCCGATGCCAGTGGGTTCGGATCCGACCCTATATGGATGGAAGAGAAGGGAGAGAGGAAATACGTATTAGTTATTGTTACACCAAAGCAATTTTAGAATTTTTTCGGAAAATTATAAGAGGGGCTTCAACATTGTGTTTAAAAACCAAATAGGTTATAAAGAAATAACACTTGGTTGTCATCCCAAAAAAATAAAAATATAATTTAAACTTGTAAAAGATATTAAAAATATTTCAATAAATATTGAAAAATATTACAATCACTCTGATTTCAATAGTTTAACAGATAGGCTGTCTGAAAATATTAATATATTTTATTTTATAAAAAAATGTCTTGTTTAATTTATATCGGAATTCGTTATCGATCGATTTTGGTATTTTAATTTAACCACCTTCTGTATTCCGCAACACTAGTTCCCCGCAATGTTTCACCTCCGATTTCACTGTATAATTATTATTTAGTTGGTCTCGTTTCGTCAGACGTAATTAATCATCGAATTTTGTGACCTGCCACGCGGGGTGACATTTGATTATTTTACAAAGCACACACGCGACATCCGCAATAGCCAATCTGAAATTAATTTGTCTCTGCGCGATGTTGGTTGTGTTCTGGTTTTGGGTTTTGTGTAATTTGACGCCTGTTGTTTGTTATTTAGTTGTTTTGCGTGTTTCGCCATTGGCCGTCATGCAATGCAATTTTGTGGTTTGCAATCCGCCCCCGACCACTATTCCCACATTGACCCTTTTCGCCGCCTTAAAACCCCCTTTGGTGCCACCCATGATGGCCGTTATTAATGAGTTTTGCAAACCTTTCTGTGTGTGTGAGCGAAATTTTAAGCAATGTGGCGACTATAACCGCCGACAAATTCTAAATCCAGATTTGAATGCTTTGAACTACTTGAATTTAATACAAATAATTAAAATTCTAATAGCGAATTATTTTTTTTATTAAAGATTACCTATTGTAAAATTTTATGAAATTATCTATATTACTTTGGGCTATATATTTTTTCCGTGACTTACAGTCAAGTAGACAACTTTACTGATTTAAATATACAAAGGAAGTAAAACATGGCAAATTTGCTGAAGCGTGTAAGCGAAAAGTTTTGCACATATTTGCCTCGAAATTGTTTTAATTGTTGTTCAAAGTTTCTTACAGAAAGGCAAGAAAAGTCAGTCAAAGTAAGAAGTTGAATGCAGGAGGACCCGATGCAGTACTCATCAAGGAGCTGGCTAACTAAGTTGGCCAATAATAATCCACATGAGTGGCCTGGCCGGCTGAAAAAACAACAAACAGTGCCAAATTGAAGAAACATCCGAAAGAAAGGAATAAGAAGTGGAGAACATTGCCTAAAACTATTTTCTGGCCCGGATGTTGTCTGTTTTGTATTTGCAAGTTTTTAGTTTACAGTTGGAAATTTGTTCGTCGAGTTCAAGTACAAAATTTTACAATTTCCAGTTTGCAGTTCCTCCTCCTTCATCTTATTTGCCACTTGCAGGCAGAAGACTTTTCGCTACCACTGTTATTGTTATTGTTGCTCTTGATTTTGAAGTGCAAAAAGCGAAAAAGTGTATAAACAAACGTAATGGAGAACTGGCTGAGAAAGAGAGGACTCCATGAAAGGAATTGCCAAACAACGAGGAAGGAGTTCAAAACGTGTTGAAACCCTAAATCAGTTTGAAGGGTCTGGGGTTGGTAGAATAAACTACATAGTTTACTGCACTTGAACCAAACTTTGATTAAGATTTTCGGTTGTTGCTGTTGGCTTGGCACTGCTTTTGTTTTTTTCTGTTCCTTTCCAGCTACTCAACTCGGAAGAGAGGTCAAAGGGTAAGCTTCGAAAAACTTTTTGAATTGGATGCTCTTGGGCTTTAGTGAGAAGTGCTTGCAGAAAATCAAGCGATTGATAAGGAGGACAACTGAAAGTCTTTTTATACATTTTATTTTATTAATAAGCCTCCAGAACTTCAAACAAAGTTTGGATTTTTTATTAGCTAAAAATAGAATGAATAAATAAATTAAGATAGTATCTATTTTAGTGTAAAATTCTTCAAAATTCACCCTAGCATTAGGATTCAAAACTGACTAAATAATCCTCGGAAGTAACTTTTAAATCGCAATTATAATCCCATACATACCCAGACTTCCCCTCAATATGGTAATGCCTGCCCTATTTTCCAATTTAGCCTCGTTTTCATCTCCCCGAAACTGCAATCTGCGAACAAAAACCCTCTATAATTTCCATCCTGCCATTGTTATCTTCCCCAATTTGTATCTCTCGCGTTGTTCTCCCTAACCCCAAAACAATTAGTTTTTTCATTCCAGTGCCGATTTCGGTACACTCTCCATAAACAATATTCGAGGGGTGTGCGAACAGCAAACAAAGGGAGACCAAAGTCGAGAGCTCAATTTGTTTGTCCATTTTATTTGTGGCTGGCAAAAGCCGAAAGTAACAATAACAACAGCCGTCACTGCAAAAACTTTGTTACTCGTGGCAACTTGGAAAGCGATTTTGTAGTTTAGTTTATGTATCCGACCAGAAATGAAAAAAGCAGGCAAACGGAAAGTTGTTTTTTTCCATGTATTGGAAAAGGGGAAAAATGGGGAAAAGGTAAGGATATAAGGGTTTCAACATCAAGATTTTCTCTACTTGTTGTTTTAACTCTTCAACAGACCAGGCTTTAAAAAAACAAGAAATAAAAAATGTATCTGTTTATATATTATTTTTAGTAGACATTTTTAAACCAACCAAAGAGTACAATTGGTTTGGTTTTCCGGTGACAAACTCCACAAAATATATATACCTTTTAAGTACTGAGTATTAAAGGGGAGAAAGGACACACAGATAGGCGCATCTTCGCTGTCAGCTGCACTTTGAACTGAATTTCTTTTTCAACTCGAAGGGGAAGGATGCCGGAGACGGAGAAAGAGAACAGCTTCTTCGAGTCCGAATCGCCGGACTCCATCCGCTCCCGGGGCAAAGAATTTTTAATATTTCATTAAATGAAGTGCCCGGAAATCGTTCAAGTGGCACACGATGAGCACGCACAAGTGCACAAGGGCCAAAACTCACGAAAATCCCCACAAGATAAGCTCAGGCCAAAGGAGGAAAAGCGCCGGCGACGACGAAGAGGGGAATGGCTGGAAATCCGCTTAATTTTTGGCATTTTTCTGGTTAAGTCAGCCGCAGATTTCTCGTCTTATTTGGCCGTGTTTTTTGTTCGCCTACTTCTCACTAAGATCCTCTCGGAATGAACTTGCTAAGAAAATATTTAAGAAGTAAGTGTGGAAAAGGCGGAAAATGCGACCAGCGATGCCCACAGATTGCCAACGACATTTCCTTCGTTCTTGGACCGAAAACTCAACTATTGTTTTTTTTTCTCGAGCAGTTTTTGTTTGTGCTTAATTTGGCTTCTGCCTTTGCCCTAAGTGGAACTTTCTTGCGGCTTTTATTTGATAAAATGACAGGCCATAATTTTTTTTAGAACTTTACGCTTTTTTGTAACTATATAAAGTAGAAAAGATCAACAGCACCGAAATTGAAAAAGAACAAAAAAGTACTGGGGTACTTAAATTTGACGACTACTTAAAAACCTTTGAATAGAAGAGGTCAAAGCTTTGGTTTTTTAGGAAAAGAACATAAGCTATTAAAAGACTTGTTAATGATTAAAGAAAAGAACATCAACTATAAAGTCTTGCATTTTATTGACAGTCTCGTTGATGTTTTTAAATTATGATAAAATATAAGCTAATTAAAAACTTGAATCATGTACAGCCGCACTTCATTCCTGACCTTAATAATTTAATTCCCTATTGCCGCTGCAACTGCAAATTGGAAGCTGAGAAGTGAGAAATGAAAACCGTGAACTGAGCAGAAACCATTGCAATTTCCCCAAAGCGAAAAAGTCAATGAGGCCAAGAAGGAGCAGCGCATTCTGGCTCGTCCTTTATCCCCAATTTCCCACTTCCCGTTCCCTCCTTCCCCATTTCCCATTTCCCAGGCCCCAATACCTCGTAACTCCGTTCCCCTTCTTCTCGAGAGGCTTTCGGTGCAATAAGTTCCGTGTTGTTAATTTCACAAGAGAGTGTAACTTGTAATTTTGTATGTTGTAGGGTCTCTCCTCCTTTGTGGATAAAGTCAGCCTCCCTTCGTTTCCCCCTTTCCCCACGATAAGGACATCAACTCTCTGCAGACTGGTGACGTAAAGCAGGAGACGTTAAACAAGCGCGTTACGGTGCACGTGAACGTTACGTCGAATGCTTCGTTGACTTTAACTATCAAACTTAAAAACACACACATTTTTATGACGAAATGAAAATGAAAGCAGCATCAGTCAGCAGGTGAGGAAAAGTTTGAAGCGCTTCAAATTCAAAATTAAAGGATCACAATTTGTGAAAAAAAGCAATTCAATACATGGTCAACAGAATAGGGATAAAATAAAAGCCAGTGAACTAATTAAAAAGAATTCTCACCTGATTTTTTGGCTACATTTTATCCACATTTTATAATACGATAGCAATTTTAAAGTGGAGAATAGAAAGTATTATATTGTTAATAAGAACATTTTATGATAATTGAAAAAAATGTAAATTATTTTTTTTATCATAAAAATAAGAATTTAAGAATGAAGAAATTCCAATAAGTAACTTGGCAAAGCAAAATTAACAAAAAAAGAAAACCTTGAAGTTTAAACATTCAAGAGAATTCTTACCTGATTTTTTGGCAGCGGCCTTTTTGCCCAAAAGACCTTTGTTCAATCCACATATTTTTATTAGATTGGGTAAGCAATTTATAAGAAGAGAACATAGAATTTATATTTGTTAGTAAAGGGCAAAGGGCAATCTTCAAAGCTAATTAGACAAGTCCGCCGATTACGTCAATCCGCTTATTCCTCTTGGAGAGGAAATTCTTATTCGTCTATTTTAATTCAATTTTCGTCGAATTTTCTCTCCAATGAAGATTGACAAGGCCGTGAACGTAATTTGCTTTCTTATATAAGTCGGAAAAACAGAAGACGTTAGAAAGGATAAGCATGAGTTTACTAAATTAAGCTAATTGGCCACTTTGAATGTCAGATGATGACACCTTTGTTGGAGGTGAAAACAGAAATAGAAAAGCAATTTTCCTGGACGTTTTCGAGTGGAAAGTTTACCTCATTATTGACGGAAATAAATTAGGCGAGCGAATGAATATTAATGAATTTATCGATTGGGTTATTTGAGTTATGTTCTCAGATGGGGTATCAATCCAATTTAGTTAGCAATGATTAGGAACTGAAACTGAATCTAGTTATTTATACAATCCAATTCAATTTATTAATTCAATATATTTCTTGATATCCTAAAAATAAGATTTGTGTCTTAACTTTAGAAAATTTGATTCTTAACTATAGAAACAAATGATTTCTTTCTCAATCATATGCCATCCCAGTTTATTTTCGTCATTATCTTATAACCATTTGACACACATTAAAGGCAATAACCAGGAAAACAACCGACACATTAGAGTGTCCGCAAGATAATTAGAAATCGATAAAGAAAACACTAAGAAACGAGAGCGAAAAGGAAAAGCCAGCAACAGGCTGACGAGAAGAGGACGGAAAACTCAGTGACGCACGAGGAAAACTTCAATACGGAAATTAGAAAAAATTAGATAATTAGCTTGGGCAACTGATGGTCCGGAGGATAACGCTGGCCGGATTACGGGATGTGGCACGCCCTGATGAATTATTAACCATGAAGCTGCTTAAAGTGGAACCTCCTCCTCCCCTCTCCTCCCTCACCACTCTCCACTTTCCGAGCTGCTTAAATTGTTACCAAAAAAAAAGGAAAGGAGCAACTTACAGAGCAATGCGGCCGTGTTGGTCAGTTGGGCGCTTCCCGGCGATGTGGCAGCGGCTGCTGCGGCGGCGGCATTGGAAAGACTCGGCTGCGTCATGGCGGCGATGGCCGCCAAATTCTGGACGGTCATCGGGGTCAGGAGTCCGGCGGCCGCCACGGCGCTCGTGTCCGTCGCCGAGCTGCTCTGCTGGGCTCCCAGTCCTGTGAGGGCTGCAATTGGGGGAAACTTAAATTAATTTCGGATGGAAAGCGTTTGGTCAAATGTTTTCGGTTGCACATCAGGTCGATCCACTGTGGCTCGAACTTTTGTAACTACGCGTTATCTGCGTATCGCCAGTTTAAATCAGTCAAGAATTTGGATAGGATTCAATTGCAAACTAATTGCAATTATTATTTCGATACATCGTTACTTAAGGTTCCATTAATATCTCATGACAATCAAGTTACTTTATAATTTTAGGTCTAATTGTTTTATTGTTTTAATAAAAATAATTATTGTTAGTTTTTTTCTTGTTTGAAAACCTTTTTTTCACTCTAGCATCTTAAGAAGCATTGCAATAAAATCATAATCAATGCCTCGATTGTTGTCCCTTCTAATTAGAACATTTTGTGTTCTTTAGAATTCGGATAAACGCAGTTTTGTGAATTAAATAAATAAGACGCAAATTTATAAAATAACAGTAATTTCTTGGCTTGATTGCTGCTGATCAGGAGTGTATTTCTGCACCCTGTTCTCACCTTGGAGCAACTGCTGTTGCAGCCCAACCGCCTGCAGCTGCTGCAGCAGCTGAATGGAGGCCGGGGTGATGGCATCGGCGCCGAGGACGGGCGAGGGCTGCTGCGGCGGGTTGGGCAGAATGGGCGTGGTCACGCTGGTGGCCGTCTGGCCGAGCGGGATGTTGATGTTGCTGGCCAGGTTCCACAGGTTGGCCTGGATCTGCTGGATCTTCTTCTGCTCCTTCTCCTTCTGCGTGTCGGCGAACTTGACGACCAGCGGCGATGTGCAGCCCTCCATAATCTTGTTTTGGCTGAGGGTCTTTGGCAAAAGATAGTAAGCGTTTAACATAAATCTAATTGGTAAAGTATACTCAATACTCACCACTTTGATGGCCGAGATGGCGGCGTGTTTGGTGGCGAATGTGACGAAGGCACAACCTTTGCTCTGACCGTTCTGATCCCGAAGGACGGTGCACTCCTCAATGGCTCCGTGGACCTCAAAAAGTTTACGAACGTCGTTCTCGTTTAGCTTCTTGTTTAGCATGCCCACAAAAAGTTTACGTTCTGCAAGACAAATGAATGCATTTCATCAGATTTGTAATTAAATTGATGAGATTAGGAAATCGAAGGCTACGCAGTTGAGTATTAAATTGGTAAACCATAAAATTTAGTTCTACTTATTCTATTTTCAGAATAGGCGAAATTTGATTTTTCGTCTGATTGAAATTCAATGGATTGGATAAAACAAACAAGGAGTAGCATTTTCTTGCAACGTAAATACAAAAATATAAAATATTTAAAACAAAGAGCATAGCAATGTAACTAAACTTGGTTTTTAATAACTAACTAGATGTACAGATATCCGTTACTCAAATGAACGATTTGAATAAAAGTTTTATGCCTAAGTTTAATCTCTGCGTCTATAAAAACAGCAAGTCCATGAGGCTGGAAAATTTTTAAAAAGTCCTTTCACGGTTCCCTTAATTTCTTTTGCTGCATATTCATCTTTTAATTACATAGTTTTCCAAGACATGGATTTTTATATAAAAAAACTAGGCTGATGGTTTTTAAAAATCGGGTTATTGTGTATTTATATGTAGAAACAAAATGTCATTCAATTTTCTGTGGACGCCACAGAATTTTGTGACATACAAATTCAAACCACTATCGCTTTATCAAATCATCTGAGGGTTTTGGTAAGAAATATATGTATTTACTTTGCTTCCTTTTGACTGTTATCTACTTTTACTGAAATACACCATACCCTTTTTCTTTCCAAATAATGGGTATAGTGATATTGTTGTTATCAACGGAACTACCATATATAATTGTCCGCAAAGAAGTGAAGAATTAGTTCACAGAAAGCATTCGTGCAAAGTTGTTCAAAACAACGAGCATTAAAATGACAAAAAATCAAAAATTTGTTTTATTAAATCGAGTTGATATGAAAAACCGCGCTCTAAATTCCAAATATAATCTCCACTTTTAAAAACCAGAGGAACGGAAGAAAAAAAAATTTAAAAAAATTAATAATATGAGTATAGAAATGTCATTATCAACAAAAAATTCTTTCTAAAATGAAAAAGTTCAATTTTGATAAAAACTTGGAGAAGTTTGCTTCTCATAGTGGGAACGCTATAGTTAGGGGCCTCGACTATCAGATATCCGTTAACGAAATAAAAAAATGTAAATAAAAGTTGTATGCCAAAGTTTCAGAGATCCCTGCAGACAGCAGGGCTGAAATCACCATTGGGCTGGTACATTTTTGAAAATTCTTATCTGTGGTGCTATCAAAATGTGGGTGCCACAGAATTTCGCGATTTTCTTTCTCTATGTATTTATCACTAGTATCAGCATGTTTAATCCCTATATTCGATCTGCAATAGTTTTCCAAGACACAGATATTCATCCATACCCTTTCACTCTTCAAATAATGGGTATAGTGATAGTACTGTTCCTATCAACGGAACTACATACATAGCTTTTCGCAAGACTGTGAAGAATTCAAAATTAGTTCGCTGAAAGCATTCGAGCAAAATAGTTCCAAAATGCCAAGCTCCGCAGTTTATTTCTTGTATATTTTTGTTGCCTTAAATATAAATGGAGAAGTTCGGTCGCAGGAAAAAACGCAGGATACGTGTTCAGTTTGCCATTTAACTGATGCCCCAACTCAGTGCGGGGCTTACACTCAAGCAGCTTTGCGGCCCGTTTTCGAACACATGACAAAACTTCAGCGGAATTTAGTAAATCAAACTGAAGGTCTTCATAATGCTTTGTCGCGACTTTCCAGAATCGAAAAAGAGCAGGCAGCTGTGAGTAATGAGTTGAATACCCTGTTGTGGATAATAATAATCGCAAAAGAGGACCCCGAAACCCTGGTGTGGAAAGAAATCGGATCGAGGAATTTTCTAATCCTGAAAAATATATATTTTAAATGGTCATTGGCGCAACGATTTTGCTTTCTTCGTGGCGGTATCCTGGCGACGATACAATCTGCACAAGAGATGATTGCACTGAAAGGAAGCCTCGATAACGAGAGTTACTGGCTCGGCATCAGCGATCAGAAGCAAGAGGGGGTGTTCGTATCCGAGACCACCGGCAAACCAGCCACCTATTTGAATTGGGGTCCCAACGAACCCAAAGATATAACAGGAAGTGAGGATTGTGTTAGCTTTCAAAATGGTGTAATGGCGACTTTTGATTGTAAGGAATCAAAACATGTAATTTGTGAGCTAAAAGAATAAAGTTCAGTGTCGATAATTGTCTAAAACATAATATTATTAATATTTGGCTTATCTGACTAAACCAATAAAAAATATATAATCAACCTTTTATGCATTTCCAACTTTTTTAATGGATTATATAGTGTTTTCTAATGTAATGCAGTACATACCAGTTTTGAGATACAAATTAATACACAATTCATTAATTAAAATTCTAAAAATCTAAATTATTTATACAAAATTAAATACAAAGTTTGTAGAAAGTATTAACAACCTAAAAAGGAATACTATTTAATATTCCAAATCTAAACTCTATTCTTGTTTTAAAGAATATTCTAGCTGTGCAAATATTTTCGCACAAAAAAATGTCTCCTAAATGAAGATAAATCAAACCGAGCCAAACGGAAACCTTGGCCTTGGTAAGTTAATCGCTGCGTGAAACGCTCGCGGAAGCCTCGACCGACCACATCGCCAAGTGAAACTCGATAGCCAGCAAAACAGCATCGTCGCCTTGGCTGAGAGCCCTGTGTTTTGGCATTGAAAGGGGCCACACTCAAGTGGGTTAGGGCCAGGTTTGAGCTGGTCCGGGCCAAAACGAGTCCGCTCCCTTATTGGCGGGTCTGCGTGCTCAGCCAGGCTTAGTTAATTCCTGCATTTGGAAATGCTCAATTAATTTTACATAAATTAAAACTCTCGCCCCCTGCAAAACTGGCATGGACTCGATAACTAATTGGCAGGCATTTAACATTTCGCCAAATATTTGCACTCTCCATGGGGAAAAGGGCTCCAGCTCCAAGTGACCAAGCCGAGGAGGTGGAGGCAAATGGGCAACTAATTTATTTGCACAAACACGCAAAATGCGCACTGCACAAATTAATTGTTATCGAATGTGCAATTGGCTGAGAATGTTTTTCCAGAAGGGCGGGACGGGGGTGGTGTGAAGTGATGTGGTTATTTGTGCGGGCCGATAGACTCGGTTGGCTGGGCATTCTATCTTTTAACTAAACCGAATTGCAAACCAATTGGCTTAAATGCATTTAAAGCGCTGCCCATTATTGGTAGCGGATTAAATTTGTATGACCAGCCAAAAATAATTCATTTCAACGAAATTTATTTCAATTTTTGAGAAATTCAGGCAATTATATATGGTACGAAATAATAAAAAATACATGTAAAATTGAACGGAAGTTCGTATAAAAAAATTACCTAATATATATAAATAACAATTTTGGTTTAAAAAAATGGTAGCTACTAAAAGCTATTAAGCTTTAATTGGTTAGTGAACCAAACTAAAATATAAAACATTTAGTTGTTATTTATTTAACTTCTCTTTCAGGTTAACTATTTTCACCCGACAACGACCCAATTAGCGTTTACTAATTTTAAATGTGCTGGCATAAATTTTTGGCAACATCAACCGAAAAATCCTATAAAACTGCTTTGTTATAAATTATTATTTTATCGCTCCAATAAACGGGAAATTTTAGCCAATGCAGTTTGTTTTATGGTCCGCAATTTGCCACAGCAGAATTTTCAGCTACCCACCGACGCCACCGCCCATTTGGAAATCTGTTTTTGGAAATCAATTAAAATTATAATTAAGCTGCTTATGGGGTGGAAATTGATTTTTAGTAGCCATTCTGGTCATTGACTTCGGCGGCGCTGATGGCGGATATTTAAAATGATTATTCGAAACTTATTATCATGATGGTTTTTATAGTCGGGAGTAACCGCAAGAAGTGTTGAAATTCAGCTTAATGGCTGTGGATTCTAATGCCTCGGTTCTCCCCCATTTCGGTCTGCCACTTGCCACATTTCGAGGCATCATCGTGCTGCAATGCGGCGGCTCCAACCTTCCACTCGATGGAGCATCCTCGTGTCGCCTCTCTATCGCCTCCCCCAACTCATCCAACCAATTCAATTGCCATTCCGAGTGCTGATGCTGCATCATCATCATCGTTATTATCATCTTCCCCAGGCGCTATCGAATGCAAAAAAACTACATATACACCCACAATAATGATGGAGCAGCAGCAGAGGAGGAGGCGAAGCACTTGCCCCATTATTATTATTATGATTATCGCAAACTGCAAGTGCAACTGCAGCAGCGACATCGACTAACTGCACTTGAGCTATATTATCATAATCCTAGCAGAAATTGCGCGCAGTCAGCACCGACCAGCTTACCCAATGGGAAAGAATTTTAAAATTCATCGAATTCGATGCTGAGCGGTTGCGGTGGCTGAATGCCAATACCCCGTGCTAAACTCTTCTCCGCCCGCCAACCAATTCCATAATTTAAGCCCCTCCTCCCGAAAAAGTAAACAAACTTGGCGTGGCGGTGACCTCATTAGTTTCGATCAGGCGCAAATTGAAAGCGTTTCCTGTTGCCATGGGGGAGTTAAATTTAAGAAGGCAAAAACCAGAATATATTACGAATTTTTATGAATTTTGTAAAAGTATCTTCTTTAAACCTAAAGGTAGACTAAGTTTGTATATTATTGATGTGAACTTTGGTTGGGTTTTGGGAAAACAGTATTCCCTTTTTACATTCCCCAATAATGTTGCTAAAATTAATCTCCATTTATATTTTTTCATCCTTATCCGATAATTTTTAAACACAGCTTTTTCCCTAACTTCCTTTTTGTTCTAGATATTAAACCTCACAACTCTTAAGCGGCATTCAATTTAAACTTAACTTGCCCCACCAAGGCAGCGCGAAAACTTCACCTTAAGTCCTGCCAGAGAAATTGCTTTAGTTTTAAATTATTAATACGGCGGACCAGGCTTTCTCGACGTAGTTTTCTCCCCTTGGCCAGGCCAAAAGGAGGAAAAGGAGGA